CCTCCCAACACATACGTAGCACCCGAGTCTGGCCCGAGCCTCAGCATATTCAGCAGTCGTCTTTGGATGGGCAGCTACTGGGGGCCAATCCGCCGCCGCCGCCGCCGCCGCCTCCGCCGCCGCCGCCGCCGCCGCCGCCGCTGCCCGCCGCCGCCGCCCCCGCCGCGCCGCCGCCTGCCGCCGCCGCCGCCGCCGCCGCCGCCGCCCGCCGCCGCCGCGCCGCCGCCGCCGCCCCCCGCTGCCAAAACCGCCGCCGCAGCCGCAGCCGCTGCCGCCACCGCCGCCGCGCCGCCGCCGCCGCCGCCGCTTCCGCCGCCGCCCCCGCCGCCGCCGCCGCCGCAGCCGCCGCCGCCGCAGCCGCCGCCGCAGCCGCCTGCCGCCGCCGCCAAGTGTACTGTGTATTGTTTTTTGACAGGGATGGTGGGGGGGGCCGCATCGGGTTGGCTGCGCATGTTCCGAATTTGGAGGCAGAGTGTGTTTTGTATTGTTTTTTACAAGGGATGGTGGGGGGTGTTGTTATGGACTCGGGTTGGCCCCCAGTCGCCTGGGGGAGGGGGTGTTTATTGATAGGGAACAGTGATCCAGAGTCTCCCTCCCCGCCCGCAAGCCGTCTCGCTCACTCCCACCCGCCCTCCCAACACATACGTAGCACCCGAGCTTGGCCCGAGCCGCAGCATATGCAGCTGTCGTTTTTGGATGGCCAGCTACTGGGGGCGAATCCGCCGCCGCCCCCGCCGCCGCTGTCCGCCGCTGCCACCGCCACCGCGCTGCCCGCCGCCGCCGCCGCCGCCCTCGCTGCCGAATCGCCGCAGCCGCAGCCGCTGCCGCCGCAGTCGGTGGCGCCGCCGCCGCCGTCGTCGCCGCCGCCGCCGCAGCCGCCGCCGCCGCCGCCGCCGCCCCCGCCGCCGCCGCCGCGCCGCCGCCCCCGCCGCCGCCCCCGCCGCCGCCGCCGCCCCCGCTGCAGCCGCCGCAGCCGCCGCCGCCGCCGCCGCCACATGTACTCCGTATTGTTTTTTGTTGACAAGGTGGGGGAGGTCGCATCGGGTTCGCTGCGCATGTTCCGAATTTGGAGACAAAGTGTGTTTTGGATGGTTTTTACAAGGGATGGTGGGCGAGGGGTGCCCGCATGGACCTGGGTTGGCTCCCGGTCGCCTGGGGGAGGGGGTGTATGTTAATGGGGAACAGTGATCAAGACTCCCTCCCCGCCCGCAGGCCGTCTTGCTTACTCCCACCCGCCCTCCCAACACACACATAACACCCGAGCGTGGCCCGAACCGCAGCATGTTCAGCAGTCGTTTTTGGATGAGCAGCTACTGGGGGCGACTCCACCGCAGCCGCCGCCCGCCGCCGCCGCCCGCCGCCGCCGCCGCCGACGTGTCCGCCGCCGCCGCCGCAACGCCGCGCCGCCGCCGCCGCCGCCGCCGCCGCCGCCCCCGCTGCCGAATCGCCGCCGCCGCAGCCGCTGCCGCTGCAGCCACTGCCGCCACGCCGCCGCCGCCGCCGCCGCCGCCGCCGCCGCCGCCCCCACCGTCGCCGCCGCCGCCGCAGCCGCCGCAGCCGCCGCCCCCGCCGCAGCCGCCGGAGCCGCCGCAGCCGCCGCCGCCAAGTGTACTCTGTATTGTTTTTTGACAGGGATGGTGTGGGGAGGCCGCATCGGGTTCGCTGCGCATGCTCCGAATTTGGAGACAGAGTGTGTGTTTGGATTGTTTTTTTGCAAGGGATGGGGGGGTGCCCGCATGGACCTGGGTTGGCTCCCAGTCGCCCAGGGGAGGGGGTGTATGTTAATGGGGAACAGTGATCAAGATTCCCTCCCCGCCCGTAAGCCGTCTCGCTCACTCCCGCCCGCCCTCCCAACACACGAGTAACACCCGAGCCTGACCATATTCACCAGTCGTTTTTGGATGGGCAGCTACTGGGAACCAAAGCCGACCCCAGGTGCACGACGCCAGGGCGAGGTGCTCCACGCGTTCCCGGCGCGCCACGCGCGCCAGGCACCCCTGGGACCCGAGCGTGTCAGGCACGCCTGGTGCGCCAGATGCGCCGCGTGCTCCGCGTGCGCCAGGTGTGCCGCAAACTCCAGCCGCGCCAGGTGCGCCACTTTCGGGGCACGTGCAGAGTGCGCAAGGTGAACTTGCGCACGTGACAACACACATCGGGAAACAATTCGGTCCCCGCCATCGCTGTCGAAAACCAATGCCCATCATTGTGTCTAGTGGGCCTGCGCACAGCAGGCCACGCGCCACCATCCCCGCCGTCCCTGTCAAAAACCACTTGATAGTGATCGCGGCATGGCCCCGCACGATCCAGATTTAGCCGCGAGGTGCATATTGTATTGTTTTTTGCCAGGATTGGCCGTGCATGCTCCTAATGTGGATGCAGAGTGCGGTTTGTATTGTTTTTTGACAGGGATGGTGGGGGGCGGGCCCGCATGGAGTCGGCATGGTTCCGGGTTGGCCGCTGGCCGGTTGGGGGAGGGGGTGCGCTTTAAGAAGGAACAGTGATCCAGACACCCCGTAGATAGCAAGCCGTCTAGCTCACCCGCCCTCCCGACACAGAAGTAACACTCGAGCCTGAACATGTTCAGCGGTCGTCTTTGGGTGGACAGCTACTGGGAACCAAAGCTGACCCCAGGTGCACGACGCTGGGGCGAGGCGCGCCACGCGCGCCAGGCACGCCTGGGGCCCGAGCGTGCCAGGCACGCCTGGTGCGCCAGATGCGCCACGTGCTCCGCATGCGCCAGGTGTGCCGCAAACTCCAGCCGCGCCAGGATCGTCACGTCAGGGGCACTTGCAGAGTGCAACAGGTGCTCTTGCGCACGTGGCAGCATACATCGAGAAACATGTCGGCCCCCACCATCCACGTCGAAAACCAATGCCTATCATTATGTCTGGTGGGCCTGCGCACAGCAGGTCAGACGCCACCACTTGACAGTGATCGCGGGGCGGCCGCGCATGATCCAGATTTAGCCGCGAGGTGCACTTTGCATCTTTTCTGTATCAGGGATGGTGGCCCTCCGCGCAGCAGGCAATATGCTGACCCCCGCGCCGTCCCTGTCAAAAACAATACGCAGTGCTCGCAGGCCTCACGAACATGGCTCAAGACTTTGTCCTAAAATATGCATTGTATCGTTTTGTTGACGGGGATGGTGAGGTGGCTGCATTGAGTTAGCCGCACATGCTTCAAATGTCGATGCAGAATGCGGTTTGTACTGTTTGTTGACAGGGATGGTGGGGGGCAGTCCGCATGGAGTCGGCATGGTTCCGGGTTGGCCGCTGGCCGGGTGGGGGAGGGGGTGTAGATTAAGAAGCAATAGTGATCCAGACACCCCCAAGATAGCAAGCAACCTGGCTAGCTCACCCGCCCTCCCAACACAGAAGCAACACCCGACCCTGTGTTTAGCGGTCTTCCAGCAGGCTCTCACAATCGATGGTCCGCGAAGGCCTCCTCCTCCTCCTCGTCCTCCTCCTCCTCCTTCTCCTCCTTCCGTCCTTATGGCCCAAGTCGCTGTAAGGTGATTCTGAGACGGACTAAAGCTGCCGCGGTATGCTTGAAGATATGCCCTAAATGGTTCCAAGAGAGACCTCAGACTGGCAAACGTCAGTCACAAGCTTGTGTTTTTGTTGCTCCCAATGCTTCTTGGCATCTCGCAGCGTTCTCCTGAAGGTGGCTTCGGCCGGGGCCTCCAAGGAGCTCGAACTTCCCCACCGGACTCCCAAGAGAGCCTCCCGAGAGAACCCCGAGAGTGCACAGTGGGGCCTGCAGGGTACAATAGCACCGGGCACCTGCTCCTCCCTCTTCTCGGCCCTCGTCGCCCTCGTCTTGCTCCTCCTTTTTCCTTCCTCCCCCCTCTCCTGCCTGCTGCCTTCTGCCTGCTGCTGGTGCCATTCCTTCGCCCAGCTCCACCAAGGTGCCGTTTACCCCCTGGGTCCCGGGTGCTTCCCTTCATCCCTCTCGTGCGAGCCGACGCGAGTGCGTGACTGCGCATGTGGGCGCGCGCGCGCGCCCGTGAGGCAAGAAGGAGGAGGAGGACCAGTGCAAACCCAGGACGCATCAGCGATGTCGCAAGGAACCCGCCTTCCAAGTTCCCTCTCCGCAGGTCCCCACAACAAGATATGTTTCCATTACAGGAGATTGCCCGTTGAAAGACAGCCGCTCGAAAAACTCCAAATCACGACTCCAAGAAAGGGACAGGCCTCGCCAGGACCAGGAACATGCAAACTTTAGGATTCGGGCTCCCCTCGGTTTCCACAATTGTTTTCCAATCCCAGATCGTGCTAAAACACAGTTCTTGGGATCCAAGTGCCGCCAATCAGCGTGACGGTTGCGTCCTGGCAATCCTGCATTGTGCCAGAACAGCATTCCTGGGACTTCAATTCTGCGAGTCCACGTGACTGCTGCGCCCTGACAATCCTGAATCGTGCCCGAACACCGATTCTCGGACTCCAACCTTACAAATAACCCTGGAAGCTGCTACAACCTGTTAAGGCGAATCTGCGCGGCGCTAACGCGAGAGCCACCTGTTCAAAATCAGTCGGCCTCGTTTTTGGGAAGTATTGCTGCAAACCTTTAAGGCGAATGTGCGCGGCGCTGGGGCGAGAACTCCACTGTGAGAACGAGCCGCCCACCATCATGGAATCGCTGTAACTCTTAGAAGGACTGTGCGCGGCGCCAGGGCGAGAGCCCGAGCTTGAGAGCGGGCCGCCCTCAATCCTGGCGCGCAGTCGCGCGTGGCAACCCCGTCAGCGCCCGAGAGAACCCAGAGGCGCCTGTGATTGGCTTGTTTTCCACCACCACCACCATAAGTTGGAGGGGGGAAGGAGGAGGAGGAGGAGGAGGAGGAGGAGGAGGAGGAGGAGGAGGAGGAGGAGGAGGACCCCCTCCCCCTCCAACTTATGGTGGTGGTGGTGGAAAACAGGCCCATCAGCCTGGGGGCATCCAGGTTCCGTGGGAATCCAGGGCTTGGGCCGCAAAGCAGTTTTTAGCACGTTCGACGCGCAGAG